AGAGGTAATGGAAAAGACCATTCTGATGGTGAAATGGTGATGAAAAGTGATGGTAAGCCAAATTGTCTAACAGCATCAATAAGGTATCTATGCTGCCATTGCCAATATCCTACAGAAAATGGCTTATCTTCTAATGAGGTAAAAGCATTGAATTGGCCTTCATTTCCAGAGAAACGACGAGATGTGTTCAAAGCTCCAGTTATAGTTTTATATAACCATCTGTCAAAAACATACTGCAATAAATTGAAGTTCAAAGAGTAATCAACAATTGAGGAGAGGCATTTAGTTAAAAAAGAAACTTTGGAACTTTTTCGATGAGAAAAGCCATCATGAATGCTTTCGCACCAAGATGTGAATGGGTACAGATGAGGCCATAAACAACATTCAACACCTTTCCATTTGTATATATTGAACAAAGAAGGTTCATTTCCAGCATTGGCATATGAGTCTCTCAAAGAAAGATAGGACGAGTAAGAAGAATCGGGAGATGACAGAAGATAATTATAAGCCTTTATAGTAATTTCCCTATCTGTCTCATTAGGAATTTCTGCAATTTTCTGTAATACAGTTTTTCTTGAGCAGGTTAGTCTAAGAAGTGCAGTTTTCCTCCGATAACCATATCTCATGGTCTTATACTGGCCACAGTCAATGTCGAAAGGCCGAAGAGCAGCAACATGTCTGGCTTCTAACTCTCTGAGCTCAGCAGGGATTTGTTCTATGGTGGGAACAACATACCTGTCAGAGCTGCAAGGACATTCAAAAGTAGAATTGCATTTTTTACCTTTGTCAAAACTAGGCCGTAGCTTTTCAAAGAATAGCATACCACAATCTTGGCAAAAAGACCAAGAAAGTGTCTCAATCCATTGTCGCAAAGAATTGACAATTTGAGAGTTGCTGCTGTTTACCGAGGTTTCTTGCTGCAACTCAGCAATACCTATCTGCCTAGTTTGCCTTGTAGTCTCGGCAGATTGCAAATTTTTTGCTATTCGTTTTGTAGCGTTGGATCCCAGATCCAAAACATAAAAAATTCTCCGGTGCCAGTACTGGCTAGCAATGTGCAAATTCCAAGGAATTGGCATGATGGAAAGAAATGTGACGAAAAATAGAGCAAAATCGATGAATAAGTTTAAATTCAAAAGAAAGAAACTATTGAAAAACTCGTCGCTCTATGACACAGAAACAAATAAACTTTCCGTGAAAAAATATCCTTTCATTTGAGATCAGCAAAAAACACGTCCTATCTGCACAAATGCAAGAAAGAAATGCCAATGTCTACTCATAAAGTGTACAATGTCTTGAATTACAAATCATATGTAAATAAACAGTTTGTGTTCCAAATGGCATATAAATATTAGAATATTAAAGATGGCTTTGAACTGCTTTATTTGATACCTTAGTTTACCGAATTTGATCAAAAATGCTTCCTACAGACGTCGTTGAAATTCATAAGGGTTCAGTATAGAAAATGCTAATTTTAGAAAAGTCAGGTGCGAGTATATGAAAACTGTTCCAAATGCTAAATTAACATCACAGAATGGTAGATCAGATTGAGTGCTTCATTTTCATATATTTGTTTATAGCATTTAATGGAATATCGGTGGTATAATCACATGTTATAACATATAAGGGTTAACTATAGAAGGGGTAGGAACTTCCAGGTTTTTTAATGATTAACAGCAGGGGAAAAGTGAAACATATGCATATGATACATGAATCGATAGCGCATGACGCAGGGAGTCGAAATATATCCAGCTATATACACTTTACATGGAAACTGAGGAAGAAAAACACAAAAAACTACCAAAAAAGTGCCCATCCCTGCTTGAAAAGTGTAAAAATGCAAGTCACGCGATTTCTATTATCAACACAGTTAATGATAAGAACGTGAAACTTATATCGAAAATACATTGCGTTACAGTTGTTGACATCATACAAAAAAATTCGAGAAATCTTCCATGCACGAGATGTTGTTGCCATTTAAAGTTTCCATACATAAGCCTTAAAGAGGAAAAATGACAAGTTTGTAGAAATCCCTGAGAAAGATGACATGAAAGGCCTACAGTGAATAAAGACCATCAACATGCTACTAGTCAGACACGACATTGGCAATTGTTTGACAGTAGTTGAGTTGCAGGGCAACTTTCGTTATTTCCATACTGAAGCCTTATAGCGGAAAAAATGCATTTTCCGAAAAAAATTGCCATTATATTTTCTGCAACTTTGCACAGTGATCTACCTTTACAATAGGTATCTGGACAAAAAATTACAGAGAATATAAAAATGGAATTGTCGAGATAGATGAGAATGAAGCATAACTTTCCCAGCGAGTGCGATTTTCTATACATAAGCCTTATAGCAACAAAAGTAAAATTATGTAACAATTCCTGCACCAATAGAGATTCCCTTTATATCATGTTGACTCAACAGTACCTGACATTAGATGCGTAGGTATCAAGTCAGTAGGCTGTGTGAATTTTGAGATAGAGACATTTGAAAAAACGCCTGTACTGAACTCTCACAGCATTTGAGAGGCTCTAGAACCCAGACCTCTTCATCTACTGACCTATTAGTTCTTGTGAGTAAAGATATCGATAGGTACTATCATTTGGTCAAGTTTCGATTAATTCCAATAAAAGAGTCAAGAGAAATTGGATGCTAAAGATTTGATCCCCATACTTAAGCCTATATTTGAATTTTTGACCTGCCAAAGCATGAAAACGAGGCTTTGCAATCCAAAAATTTTTACCATCGGCAATTAGGCTCATGAAGTACTACAACCTACAGTAAGTAGAAACGGCAAATTTTTTTCACCACAAAAGTTATTATTCTAATATAGATATATTAGAAAACGCTTTTCTATTATGTAACATAAGAAAACAACATGCGATATGTTGTTTTGTAAGCAGTATATGTTTAAATGCGTATGGACTGTGTGAATAACTGGCTTGTGGCAGCCAAGCGTTCATAGCGACGTTGCTTTTTGATCCTTCGATGTCGGCTCTTCCTATCATTGTGAAGCAGAATTCACCAAGCGCCGGATTGTTCACCCGCTAATAGGGAACGTGAGCTGGGTTTAGACCGTCGTGAGACAGGTTAGTTTTACCCTACTGATGAAGTGTTGTTGCAATAGTAATTCTGCTCAGTACGAGAGGAACCGCAGATTCAGACAATTAGCATTTGGACTTGCTTGAAAAGGCAATGGCCCGAAGCTACCATCTGTTGGATTATGACTGAACGCCTCTAAGTCAGAATCCGTGCTAGAAGGCACACGATAGCTAACCTTTGGACAGTGTTTAGGCGAACAAGATTAGGCCAGCGTGCAAGCGCTGACCTAAGTCCAAATGCACCGAGGTGGAGATCGGCCGCCGAGGTGCTAGTCAAGCCAAAATCTTAACGTTACCAAAGATAAATCCTATGCAGACGACTTAAATAAGGAACGGGGTATTGTAGGAGTAGAGTAGCCTGTTTGCTACGATCTTCTGAGATTAAGCCCTTCGTTCTAACGATTTGTGCGTGTGTACGTGCATGCCAGCAATGGCTTGCCGTCGCCCGCCAATTTTTTTTCAGTTTTCTAATCACTTTCCCAGCAAGAAGAACTCTGTGCCGTGCCGTGCTATGCTGTCCTGTGTCTGCTGTGTTGTGCCGTACATAATGGCGCTGCCATTCCCGCCGTGAAGCGACCCTGCCCCTGCTGTTGAGGGGCATTCGTTTTCACGTCTCTTTGTCACTCTCCCAGCGAGTGAGACTTTAATTTTTTTCGGCGGCTCATGATCACTTTCCCAGTGAGTGAGTTAATTTTTTTTTTTTTTTTTTTTTTTTTTTAATTAATGTACTTCTTCTAACAAAGTTTCATCAAAAACTTTTATTACAATTGTTATGTTGTTCACATCTGTCACGTTTGTGACATCTCTTACATTTGTCAAATCTGTTACGTTTTTGTCAAATCTGTTACGTTGTGTTACATGTGTTACATTTGTTAATCTCTTAGTTTGTTAGCATATGTTACAAATTGTTAGTCTTTCTTACATTTGTTACCTTTCTTACAATTGTTACGCTCAACTACATTTGTTACTTCCATCCATCCACTACATCTGTTAGGTTTGTATTATCTTTTGTAACACTTGTTACTTACCTGTGTTCCATCCATCCATTTGCTACAGACAGACAGACAATGTTGGAAACAGACTTTATGACCGAAGATAACAGATAGACCAGATAAGACAGATAGATAGATACATTTACAACGTGTTACATTTCTTCCTTACACTCATTCATTTGTGTGAGTGAGTGACGTTCATTGTGAAGATGTTATGCCTGACTGCCATAAAACTGCCTGTAACAGCCGATTACTGTATTTACTGTATTATCACCCTTATTTGCATTGACAGACAGAAAGAGATGTATTAGCTTGCTTTTTTAATTTCCGTTTGTTATCTTATTAAACAGGAGGCGAAGTTGCCTGCTGGCCAGCATAAGTCTCACTGACTAACTTGACTATCCATCTATCATGACTATAGTATCTATCATGACTATCTATCTATATACATGACTATCTATCGTCATCACGAATATCTATCTATTACGACTAATCTATCTATCATGACATCATCTATCACGACTATCTATCTATCATGATATCTATCCATCATGACTATCTTCTGACTATTATCTATCACTGACATCATATCTATCATGATATCTATATCACGACTATCTATCTATCATGGAACTATCCATATAATCACGATGATATATATATCACGACTATCTAATCATCTATATTATCAGACTATCTATCTATAGATTATCTATCTATCATGACTATCCACTATCATGACTATCATCTATCATAGACTATCCTGTCTATCATGGAACTATCTATTATCATGGATAATCTATCTAAGTAATCAATCGGACACTAACAATCAAAATAGAAGCACAAGATGAAGAGAAGAAATAAGTTAGTTAGCTTATTAATTAGATAGCAAGCGAATCCGGACATGAATGCAAAAGCACCAGGAGTTTCTATCAAAACAGACTTGATGAAAACAAGCGACTCACCAAACAACAATCGAGTAGAAGGGAATACCAAGACAAGTGAGTTATTCCATCTTCCATCTGTTATCAAGCGAATGATCAGACATGTACATCCGAGGACACATCCGAAGACTTATCAATCAGAACCTTTATGAACAACAGCAACCGAATCGCACAGGCAAAAACAAGTGAATAAAAAACACAACACGTGAGGTCTGTCATCTATCTACAAGCGAACCATCGGACTACGATAACATGACACCAACAACTTCAATCAGTCAACAACCATTTATGAAGCAACGGAATCACAAAGGCCAATGTTTGAAGGATAGAGACGGACGTGCGCGATCAAAGGAGCGGGCAACAACCTCCGTCTATTGAGACGGAGAACAGAAGACTTCGGCTCAAAGGATCCAACAACCAGGTTTCATGGAAGCAGAGACGGCAGAAGGACTTTGAGAATGATGACGGACGAGGCGGCCGATCAAGGACGGGCAACCCTCGTCTATTGAGAACGGAGACAGAAGAGCTTCGCTCAAGGATCCAACAACACCAGGTTTCATGGAAATAGGAGGACGGCAAGAAGGACTTTGTGGATAGAAGACGGACGTGCTGACGATTCAAGGAGCGGTCAACCCTCGTCTATTGAGACGAGACAGAAAGAGCTTCGCTCAACAAGGATCCAGCAAACCCAGGTTTACAAGGAACAGAGACGGCAAGAGGAACTTTTGTGGATAGAGACGGACGTGCTGCCGATCAAAGGAGCGGGCAAACCTCGTCTATTGAGACGGAGACAGAAAGAGCTTCGCTCAAAGGATCCAGCAAACCAGGTTTCAAGGAACAGAGACGGCAAGAAGGACTTTGTGGATAGAGACGGACGTGCTGTCGATCAAAGGAGCGGGCAACCCTCGTCTATTGAGACGGAGACAGAAAGAGCTTCGCTCAAAGGATCCAGCAAACCAGGTTTCAAGGAACAGAGACGGCAAGAAGGACTTTGTGGATAGAGACGGACGTGCGGCCGATCAAAGGAGCGGGCAACCCTCGTCTATTGAGACGGAGACAGAAAGAGCTTCGCTCAAAGGATCCAGCAAACCAGGTTTCAAAGAACAGAGACGGCAAGAAGGACTTTGTGGATAGAGACGGACGTGCTGCCGATCAAAGGAGCGGGCAACCCTCGTCTATTGAGACGGAGACAGAAAGAGCTTCTCTCAAAGGATCCAGCAAACCAGGGTTCAAGGAACAGAGACGGCAAGAAGGACTTTGTGGATAGAGACGGACGTGCTGTCGATCAAAGGAGCGGGCAACCCTCGTCTATTGAGACGGAGACAGAAAGAGCTTCGCTCAAAGGATCCAGCAACCCAGGTTTCAAGGAACAGAGACGGCAAGAAGGACTTTGAGAATAGAGACGGACGAGCGGCCGATCAAAGGAGCGGGGGACACTGGTCTCCAGAGACGGGAGAGACGGAAGTAGCAGGTCTCAAGGGAAAGAGACGGACGTGCTGCCGATCAAAGGAGCGGGGGATACTGGTCTCCAGAGACGGGAGAGACGGGAGAGACGGGAGAAGCAGGTCTCAAGGGAAAGAGACGGACATGCTGCTGATCAAAGGAGCGGGGACACTGGTCTCCAGAGACGGGAGAGACGGAAGAAGCAGGTCTCAAGGGAAAGAGACGGACATGCTGTCGATCAAAGGAGCGGGGGACACTGGTCTCCAGAGACGGGAGAGACGGAAGAAGCACGTCTCAAGGGAAAGAGACGAACATGCTGCCGATCAAAGGAGCGGGGGACACTGGTCTCCAGAGACGGGAGAGACGGGAGAAGACGGGAGAAGCAGGTCTCAAGGGAAAGAGACGGACATGCTGCTGATCAAAGGAGCGGGGGACACTGGTCTCCAGAGACGGGAGAGACGGAAGAAGCAGGTCTCAAGGGAAAGAGACGGACATGCTGTCGATCAAAGGAGCGGGGGACACTGGTCTCCAGAGACGGGAGAGACGGAAGAAGCAGGTCTCAAGGGAAAGAGAGTGTCTAGCAGTCTGTCTCTTGAGACAGTAACAAAGAGGCCTTCAATCCAAGGATCAAATAGGCCGAGTTTCAATGAACAGAGACTGATAGGTCTCAAGAGAAATTGTCAGACAGCTAGGTCTCAAGGGAAGCAGTCGGGCAGGTAGCCGATCAAAGGAGCGAGTGATATTGGTCTCATGAGACGGAAACAGAGAGGTCTTTGTCCAAATGAGGAAAAAATTTTTTTTTTCACTACCGCAATGAAAGTTTTGTTAGAGGCTTTTGTGTTTGCGGACAACAGAATAATGATGCATTTGCAAGATTTGGGGCTGGTTTGGACTCTTTTTGAGAAGATTTGTATGATATCGGGGGCACTCTATAGTTGTCTTGGCTATTTATGTGGGCACAGTGATGTGGCAAATGATGTCGGCGATGATGAAGCCAGGGAAAGGTGCGTGTGCTAATAGCGGCTGCGTTGCCCGGTACCCGTTGGATTCTTTGCACATGGTATCATTTGCGGGCTGTTAGGTCAGCCATGGTTGCCTTTGTAGGATGGATATTAGCGATGCTCCACGATCGCCTAATGACGAATAATTAGCCCACACGGTTGCCATTGCGTTTCTTTGGTCGTGTCGCTGCTTAGATCGGCTGTATGGCTACTTCCCTGCTCGTAGTTGCGAAGTTTGGTGTTCCTCTCAGGATTGCCGAACGGATCAGCGGTAAAGCTAAGAAGGAGCCCGATGCCATTGTGTCTATGCCATCGCATGGCCACGTCGGTTGCCTTTCAATACGGTGTGTGTCTGTGCATGTACTATCAGGATGGCTGGTGCATGTACGAAACCACCGTTTGTCTGTCTGCTATGAGTGCCGGGACTAGGCGGTCAGCGTCTTCCCGTGCACACGTTTGCCTTGTCGAGGGATGTTGTGTTTATGGCGTATCGCCATCAACTGAACAAACGCTTAAGGAAGCCCGAAACCAGGTTTAATCTGTGTTTCTAATTCGAACCTGCACTCTCTCTGGTCGCGTTCAACCGATCGAGAAGGTACAGAGACGAGATGGATGGAAAGGCGAGGGATATAAAGGCTAGTGGGTGGTCAAGCAGTCAGTCGGCTGTGTTGTCCAGCTAGCGCTCGCGGCCTTTTGTAGTAAGGGCGAGCGAGCTGTTGGTTTGGTTTGGTTGCCATACTAATTGAAGGAAGAAACAGCGAACGTGTCTCGTGTCAGGCACACGT